ATATCTAGAGATTCTTGACAAAATTCAAATAACCTGCAATATTACCGATCCTGACCTGGCATCTTGGCTTCAGTCACTTTCCAACCACCATAACGTAGCTTCCTTTTACCTTTTCTATAAATAATTTCACGGAAATTGTTCTGATGAGATTTCCTTGTTAGTATTAATTGTACATATGGGGGTTATTAGTTAGGACTTCATAGAGACCTCTTGTAACTGTGTAGTAAGAATGGTAAGCAAGAATGTGATATTTTGGTGTAAGGAATATTGTATAGTTTGTTTGGGTCAGTGATTGTGGTTAGCTAATTTTAAGATAAAACAGATTGATGACCAGCCTTCTCCATGTCCCCATTTGGCCTTGTGCCACATTTTCTGTTTATTTCAGAAATAAATATCGCTTTTCTTTTTTCTTGTTGCTTTCCCAATTTCACGAATTTAAGCGCAGTACTAGATTTACAGCTAGGTTTTATAATTCTACTGTTGGAACTGCTAGATGGAGCCGTAAGTTCTATGCTAATAGTTTCTTCTCTCGTACTTCTTGCTTGTGGAACTCGCTTCCGGCTTTCCTGCCAACTACGATCTTCAAAAATTTAAACGAAATGTCGATCGTCAACTTCTTTCTCCTTGAATTCTGTTCTGTTCTTTTATTGTCCTGTCTCTTTCTTTCATTCTCAGTAACTTTGAGGCTTTTATTTCTTTGCTTGGGGTGAAATAATTCTAAAAAAATGTATCTTATTTATAATTGACAATATCGTTATTATAAGAAATTATATCAATGTTTATTTTTCTATCCCTGGCTCCAAGTACAGTCCGTATTTTAAAAGTGAATCTAATAATAATACTAACAAATAACTCTTCCTTCAATGCTAAAATACTTGACATCTTAACAGCCAATATACGGTTTTCAAAATAATATTAATTACAGAAACGAACTGCTGCTAGCAATCAGAATGAGACAACAGAAATCTTTAAGACACATGAAGAAAGAAAACTTAAATTTCAAAGGGCCTAGCAAGGAATTCCAAGAAAAACAGAAGGCAACGTACTTGATAAATCTGAGGATAAGCAAATGGACGAAGGAACAAGTATCACAATAGGATATTCTTGTAAGCAGCAAAAGATAGGAAGTTGTAGAGAGCCATGATCGTCTATGTTGGGAAGAGACATGACACACACATAGAGACTATACAACTTCTTCTCTTTCAACAACTGGTTCTACTGCTAGTCATATTTACTGCTTAGTTTATTGTTATTTTTTCCAACTATCGATACAGTATCTCAGTTGTTGGCTATTTTCGTCTGTTTTGACGGTTCGATTGAGATAGCCATCATTCAGGTGTGTAATTTAAACAGACAATAGCCGGATTTCACCAGTTGGGCAAGAATGAGCTGATTGCACAACAACTCTCACGGTTGTTTTTGGATGAATTTATCTTCGACGCATGGATAAATAAACTTTTTTAGTTGAATAATACTACTAACTGAACAGTAATCCATTTCTTCTTTATTTTTCTCTTTATCTAACAGATTTTTTGATACCAAGAAATCTGCTCTACTTATTTTAAATTTTCTTCTTTTTTTTTGTTTGAAAACTGCCATATCGATAATAATTAAATGGAACGTTTATATCTAAGAATATTTTTTATTTATCAGAAAAACAAATTAACGGGATATGAATATTTGACAAACATTAACTAGTAATTTAAAAATTCAGTTTGTGAAAATGACATTGAAAAACGAGTTTGAGTAACTATTAATAAATAACCCGAAAGGTAATTTGAGTACAAGTAACAGTCTTGTCAAAGTGCATACAAAGCTTAAATAATCGACGACATTCTTGGACTGAAGCTACAAAGTCGTTTTCTGCCAATAGTCGGGTGTCATAATAGTTATAATTTTTATTTGTCCTATTTTAATTAAAAGATCTATATAGAAAATCTATTTCTTCGGCTAAGAAGAAAATGGATAACTGACAACGATGGAAGGAACTTAATCGAAGTGAAATTGCGAATGTATTTTGCTTTTTGCAACAACACGGTTGTAGAAACGGCAGCTACCGAACAACTTAATGCGTTTCTTTTATGAGATTAAAATGTCTTAACATAGATTACGTTTTTCAATAGTGAAACTCGGCTTTACAAGGGTTTTCTTAAAGTTTTTAGTTTTTTTTTTTTTTTTTTTTTTTTTGTAATAAAATGTAAACAGAAACTGCTTTTGGTTTTATCGTATTCAAGCTTGTATCAGTAAAATTCTATTTATTAATCATCAATTTTATTTTAGGGTGTAATATTGTATTTGTTACCCCCTTATGTGTGTTTCTCTTACCCAAATAAGATAAAATAGTTGACAGAATTCTAAAGTATTACCTGTCAATTTGCGAATCTAAAGCCTCTGAGGTAATATTCCCTTTGATACCGCTTCAACACAAACATGACCCAATTATTTTCTTAATTTTTCTTAATATCGAAATACCGATAACGACTCCAGATCAAATGGTGGGTCATCCAGAAATGGTCCAGTTCCTTTTACTATTTCCGTAGACATCAAGGCGTCTCATTGAACCTACACTTCTTAGTGCAATAATTAATGCTCTTAAGTCAGTAAAACAATACGATGTTTCGTTAAATATTTATCTTATAAATTGATAAGATTGAAATATATAGTTGTTACACATTTTATGTTTAGTTTAGACAAATTCTTTTATTTATCAGAACAACAAATTAACAGGAAATGAATTAAAAACTCAGTTTATTGTGAAAATGATACTGAATTTGTGTAGCTATTAATAAAGAACTCGAAAATGCAAAAGTATTCTGGCAATTTGAATACAAGTATCAGTCTTTTCAAAGTGCGTACAAAGCTTAAATAACCGATGACACTCTTGGACCTAAATTACAATTTTGACTGTTTTGACGCACTTTATGTCCAGAAAAGAAAACACTTATACGAACACAAGAAGAATCAAATAAAAAGCTTAATTGCAGTACCTTATCAATCAGTTAGCTTTAATGAAACTTGTATAAAAGAAGGATTGCTACCCAAATACACTATATATATATATATATATATAATGTATGCATGCATGTATATATAAAGTATGATAATCACTTGAAACGTAAAACTGACAGTCACCATACATTCTTGATTTCTATGCCCACATAATCTGTCTTCTTCTCTCTCGTTTATATGTGTGTGTATGCGTATAAAATCTTAATCAAAATGTTTTAACGTAATATTAAAAATCTTCAAATATGACAAACAAATCTAAGACTTTATATAAACTGGGTCTTGTGAGGGTTGACAGTGGATGTAGCAGCTTTGTTACTACTGGTCGAACATTACCAGTTTACTTAAGTACTTACCGATCTTCTACGCCATGTATCTTATATATATATATATATATATATATATATATATATATATATATATATATATTATTTAAAAATATTATTCCTTTTAAACGAAAAATATTATTATAATAAAGCTCTACTTCTGTATGGAGCACTGTCTTCTTAAAAACAAAAATACTAAGGAACTCCGGATTATGCACCCAACGTGTTCTTTTCTATTTTCTGCATACCTACGCACTATATATATATATATATATATATATATATATATATATATATATAGTGCGTGTGTTTTTCAATAAAAAGCCATGTGCCATGGTTTATTTTAATTAAATTGTTTACGTCCAAGAAAAGTCATGTCTGAGTTGAATGTGTAGGTGTTGCTCAAATGATTGGGATTAAACTCTTTCGGCCATATTCTGTTCTTTTCCGAGAAGAAAACATTAACTCCACTGAATACACACATACATCCTCTTGTTCGCAAATAAAAGTTCATTAAAAAGAACTCTACAATAAACATTTATTTGAGGTCATGTTTTTTTTTTGCATTAGGTAGCATATTTATCGATTTACGCATGTGCACATTGTCATATTGTGCGCATGTGTATGAAAAGCTGATTTTTAAAAAAGAAAGATACACATTAAGTTCTCAGTTACTTCCGTCGTTGTCTTAACTGTTAATTATAATGTTAAATGTTGCAATAAAGTTTAGATATGGAAACCTATGAAGCGTTATCTTTTTAAAGAAATAGATTCAATTAAACATTTATGGTTACTTTGTCAAACCCTACTGACAACTATATTCTTTTCTTTTCTAGGTTCCCCACGAAAATATCCAGTTTACACCCACCTTGATACTGACACTGACACGTGAACTGAAAATCCGATATCTTCATACTTAAGGAAAAAAAAAAAATTGGAAAACGACAAGAAGGAAAGAAAGAAAAAAACCAAACACGTGACATGCAGTTTTTAGTCATCAGATTTTTGGACTGAGTCATCAGAAATATTCTAGCAATTATTTTGATGTAATTACATTTCTTCTATGGTAAGGGTAAGAATACGCAGCACAAACACTTTCAAACGTCCACTTGGGATTCGGAATGTAAAATAGCTGCTGCGCCAAAAATACTTATTTAAATATACGTCGAGAATCTTCGAGAAAGAATTTTTCATTCCAAACTGTCACTTAAAATAAAAATTTAATCTCTGACTTCGGTGGCATCCCATGATTCAATAATCTTTCTCATTTTGGATACGAAATCAAATTTATATTTAAACAAATAGTTGTCCTTTATTAAGTGCCGTGTACAATCTGTTTTTTAAAGACGTCGGTTTCAGTTAGTAGTCGGAAAGAGAAAAAAAAACGTTTATTCGAATTTAAATTGATACAAATTAAAACAAGATAAAATGGAGAGAAGTGATTCAAACTACCAATTGGATTATGAAGAGGACGTCCTAAGGAGGACAAGGAAAGCCATACGAGATCTGAATACACTCCGTAACGAACACAATAGTCTTATAAACAACATTCAGATTGCATCTAAAAGTAACGTTGATTTTGACAAAGACTTCCGGGACGAAAGGCTGAATATATTAAAAAATTCCCAGGAAGCCATCGATTTAGCCTTGGAGGAAGCCGAAGTTACTATGTTCCTGGCTAACCACCTTCAATACTTGGAAGGGGAAAAGTTAAAACTGCGGGCCCAAGTTTCATTACTCAAAGAGGAAAACGACTGGTTGCGTAAGGAGCTGCTTGAGACGCAGGGTGACCTGATGAAGTGCCAACAGAAGCTGGTGGTCGTTGAAGAGAAGAACAAGCATTTTGAATTTATGAAGGAACTGAAGATGGACGATTCCCGCGAGGGAAGCGAGGAAGGAAGCGAGGGAAGTGGGCGACCATTTTCTTTCGATATGAGCTTCTTAGACGACCTCCCCAGCGATACCGGAAGCCCCGGTTATGAAATTCCAGCGCGCTTTAGATCGCTCTACGACTTGGTTACGCAATACGTAGCACAGGGTCGCCACCAGGTGGCTCTGACTTTATGCAAGCAGAGCATTCAAAATCTGGAAAAGACGTGTCAGTATAACCCGGATGAAGCCATTGTGCTGCACATGCAGGCTCGCATTTACAAGGACATGGGCAACACGCGAGAGGCAATCAAGTCTCTGCAATCGGCTTTGCATATTCGCGAGAACACACTCGGCCACGACCACTCGTCAGTGGCTGCACTCTTGAACAATTTGGCTGTAATGTACGGTCGGAATGGCAACTATAAGGATGCTGAGAATATGTGCAAAAGGGCTCTAGAGATTAAGGAGAAGCTCTTCGGCACTTACCACACAGCAGTAGCAAAATTGTTCAATAACCTTGCATTGTTATGCCAAAACCAGAATAAATATGACCAAGCAGAATATTACTATCACCGCGCCCTTGAGATCTATCACACAATTCTGGGACCAGATCACGTGACCGTAATGAAGACTAAAAACAATCGAGCGTCTGCTTTTCTTCGACAAGGCAAATACCGACAAGCTGAAGAAATCTACAAAGACATTCTGATTCAGTTTTGCGAGAAAGAGTACGGACATTTTGAGGACGACAACAACCGACCTCAGTTGACACCTGCTGAACAAGAAAATGGCGGTATACTACTGTATTATATTAAAAGGCTTTGCGACCGTTGTAAAATGGGACTTGACGTATTCAAGAATCCAGCCTTGATCACAGCTCTTGTCAATATGGGTATTTTGAACCGGATCATCGGTAAGTCCGATGAGGCAGCTCTATTTGAAGAAAGTGTGGTCAGGTTAAAGAAAAAGAACAGTCATTATAAATTGATGACTGTTTCAACTGAAAGTTGAGCTTGGATTTACATTTGAAACAAGTTCTGTGAACCAGACGGAACTTTTAATTCAATGTATACATAATCTCAACGATATAAACAAACCGACACTCTTCTGACCGCGTTGCAAAATGGTATCTGCAGACGACAGCCTCGATTTCATTTCCTTTTTTTTTTTTTTTTTTTTGTTTCATAAGGAAAGAAGATCAATGAAGTGACTTAAAAAAACAACCTGTATTTTATTCTTACTGATATTAGACTAGAGTCATTCCATTGATATCGTCTGATATATGATCTGAGATTACCCTCAAAACATCTGCAGTTGGTGAGGTGAACAAGACCGAAAAGAATAAACGAGATACCGGAAATTGCGTATGTATATCACAACATCAAAGACAAGACAAGGTTATTTTCTTCTTTTTTAGTACACGTATGACTGTACACAATTGTAATTGCTGTAGTCAATTCTATGTACGCATGTGTGTATCTATACATTTATATCTTTACTAGTTGAAAGTTATTCAGACAGTTTTTTAAAATGCCAAGAGACTGCTAGTGACTTTTCAAAGATATTAAAACATGGAGGTACTTCTACGTAATTAGTGTATTTCTCGTGTTTGTTTACTGCTGTGATTAGATGACCCTTTCGTTTAAGGATTTCACTGTTAATTTGAGTGAAATGATTTATAATATAGATCATGATTCCCGCCAATTTAAAAAGAAACGGTTGAATAGCTAAATAAAACTAAATAGTGTTATTTATCGACTGCCGACTTCAAAAAAAGTAAATGATTAAGTTTGATCACGGAGGAGCTATCGGGAAATTGCGATTGACTTTGGGACATTTTTAACCCAAAATGACAAAGCACACAGAAAATTGGAAACTTTATTCATCATCTCCCGTTTAAAAGATTTAAGTGGCGAGATTGGGGGAATGAAAAAAAAAATCAATCACACACAGAGGAAGAATTCATGAAAATATGAATTCTTAAACTGATTTTTTTTTTTCTAAATGTCAAAAATGGCCAAAATAAAAACTTTTATAATTAAGTTTTAACTATACTGCTGTTAATTTTTTCTGACCAATTTTTTTTTTTCAAGGACTAGATTGAATACGCTGCTGAAAATTAGGTTTAGCAGGAAACTTTTGCACGCGCCCAAATATATATATCGGTCTTTTAGTCTGTCACCTAAAAGAATAAAATTCCACTATAATTTATGACCAATATTTCTGAATAATACTAATTTCACTTAAAATTACAGATATACGCAAAAATGGTTGGAGACAGATTCGTTCACTCCATTGCGCCACATCTACATATTATTTTTTAAATCGAAGTGCTTAATATACAAAGTACTAAAGAAAACATACAATTTTTTTTTTTTTGTTTAACTAAATATATATACGCAGTTTTGGACGATCCTACATCTTATGTAAGGCAGTGTGTTTTTTCTATTGCATTGCATAAATATTTTGGCGTCTGAGCTGCTAATCTCAGGGGCATGCATTCACGCAGTAACGCCCCTTTCTTTCAAAAGAGAAATTACTGAAATATTTGGGCCCTTAAATTAAACACCTGAAAAAAATAAAGATTTATTATTTGCCATTTTCATATCGTTAAATACTGGTATCTTATCCGGTGGCCCAACTTTGAGACCCGCTTAGCAGTGATGTTTTCATATCTGACATTTTAAAGGGTGTTTTTTTTTTTGTTGTTTGTTTAAAGAGCTTGGGACAGTAACAAATTGTACTTCCTCTTGTCTACAAATCATAAAATAATAAATTATATCAAATTGAGGTATAAGTAGAAACGCCTACTTTTTCCTGTGAAATATGCTATTTCTTTTTGTATCATTAAATGAAGCTAGGAAGAAAATAAATGTAACTGTAAAAGCCTTTAAAAAAGAAATTATATAATAATGTTGCTATATCGCAAATGATTAATTATAAAAATAAGAACTCTACGTCTAACCGAGATTGGAATTATGCAGAAATGGCGGTGGTTGTTGTACAATAAACACTGTAACCAGAAATAATTTCTTCAATCTTTTATTACTATAGATTAATAAAGATCACGAATATCGAAAAAAAATTACTAAATTTTATAAAGAAGTTAACTGGAGATCTAGTCTAGTATGTAAACTCATTGATCCTCCTACGGAAGCCAAAACAAATATGTTCATACGTTATTTCTTAAAATGAAAGCCAAAAAAATTAAATTCGTAATCTGGGATTCTTTGTTCCAATTGATTAAGCTAACCGAGATTACGAACTTCAAATTTTTTATTTAGTTTTTTTTTTTTTTACTTTTTTAAGAACTCTAGAAGCATATTTTTTGTCCTTGCATCGCGAGATAAATTTACAATGGATTTATCTATTAAACAGCTCCCCGCTTAAGTTTTAGAAAATTTAATTTAAAAAAAAATGCTATTCGTGATCTTAAGTGTGCATCTATAGTGTTTACATTTAAAAATAAAATTTTGAAAAAAAAAAAATTTCTGGTCGCATTTCCTATTGTACAACTCGACCTTGATAGCCGTTAAGGTTGACGCTAAGGCAGATTCTAAGGTGTAAGATTTCTGTGAAAGTTATATACCGTTCTCGCCTTGCCAAAATAGTCTCTGTCTGTGGGTTAGAATAACTTTTATGCAACGGACAACAGCTGGGGAAGGTCGTCACGTTTAACAATGGGAACGACCCAGACATGGATAAATATTTTGTTCGATTTATTATTTTTTTTTTTATTATAAGTGCAGTTGTTAAAATCTCTATCCAAAAATCGTACAATGTCGTTGGAATTTATTAATAGAAGAAAATGTCTTATTCGTTGTATATACTCAAAAGGTTCGAGTCAAAATAAGAAATACACATGTGCGCTTTGTAGGAGATGGTAAATTAAATTCTATAATCCCTACATTCAAATACAAACATCTTAATATAAAACGAATGCATCAAACTAGTTGTTTTATGTTTCCGAATACACAGAAAGCTTTACTGCAAAGTTGTGTGTCGAAAGCACTTCATTGATATGTAAAAAAAATAGATAAATTAAGTTTTCAAATTATAATGCATCTGTACAATCAAACATTTGAATGAATGATAAATGCGAGAAAAAAAAAATAAACGTTCATTCTACTACAGTTAATTCTCTATTTTCGATTTTTTCCCGATCATTAAAAAATGCAAAAATGAAAACGATAATTTATAAAAACGATCATTTAGTTAGCTTAACACCAACAACGCAACACGCAGAATATTAATGCCACTAAAATAACTTATATTTCACCTTCCCAGTGGCGTACAGAGGTTTGGTGATGCCCGAAGCCAACTCCTTGATTGTAGACACCTAAGACTCAAGTAGAGACGGTTATAGGGCCTAGTACTGTGAAATGTGAAAAAGGGAGCTATTTTAAATATCTAGAAACTGGTGAAACATGAAATAAACACTTTATTCAACTTAAAAATATAAACTAAATTTTTATTTCACTCTTTGATTGGATACCCTGTTGATATGGATGCCAGGGGCCACCGCACCCTCTTCCCCCCGCCCAAAAACTTCTGCACGCTACTGAATCTTCCCAAGAATTAATCTCACATTCTCTTACTGCCAGTAACCATACAAAAGACAAAATATGGCTATTGGTGACTCGCTGTATGGGATTAAAGAAATGATGTCTCTAACCCGATAATTGGTAAGCCTTTCGAGTAAAGATTATTTAACTCGCGTATAGTCGTTATATGTATTGTTAGAAAAATGGTAAGACAACCATCATTACATTATAAAATAATTCCTATCGTCCTCAGTTCTATGTACAGAATACTTTTGCGTAGGTGTCAGAGAAAAAGAGCATCTTTTCTTTAACTGTGGTGGTATGAGTGGGTTTAGTAGAAGATCTATCCCATTCTCTTTTGGGTTGGTTCTGAGACAAAATTGGACAACATGCTCATCTGTGACTTTTTACGAAATTTTTCATAAAGTTATCAATGTTTGAATTACTTTTAATAGGACGCTTTGCAACGACAATGTCCTCATCTTCCATGAACTGTGTTCCCCCCACCCCTCCAAAAAAACTAGATAAGACTGCTGTAAACAACAAACTTTAATGTTTCTCTTTCCCGCTCTCAGAAATTAATATTAAAAGGGAAATATTCTATAGAGATTTTAATCTCGGTTCTAAACAGCCAATGATCTTTTGCAAGACTAAAGCCCCTTGAAATAACCAGAAACGAATCGTTATACAAAAAAATTTAATAATCTTTACTGGTAAAGGTAATTTGTAAGTTTTCAGATTTGAAAGAATGTTTTCACACAATAACAATCAATTTTTGGCATTTAGCATCTAATTTCAATCGGGACATACAGTTGAAAACAAATCTCTTAATTAACAAGTGATTTTCCTATTTTTTTTTTTTTTTTTTTTTCTAAACCTGACGTGTGATTGCTTGTTTTTGGCGGGAACGATTTTGGAATGAGAATTTCTTGTTTTTCATTTCTGTCGAATGAATGGATAAAAAACAAGTGAAAATTAAATACATTTTGTATGTATACCTTTTTTTCTGTTACGGATAAGTATGTATTTTTGACTAAATATATTTTTCTGCAGAGGAAACTTAATAAGCTCCCAGACTAGTTGCACGAGCTTCACCAACCCGTCACCGGTGATTAAACTATATACTTTCTATTGTTTGTTATTATTTATAACTGTTGTTGTTGTTAATCAATGTTGATGTTAAATTATTATGACACTGAGAAATCAAGAATGTATAATATACACATTATTTATTTGTTGAATCTCTTTTTGTTTTAATTTTGTAAGTAATGAATTTTTTGTTTTGTTTTTAGCCATACTCTTCCTTCCTCTCTTGTACCATTTATTAAATTAGATACTATATTTGATGGCATATAAAACACTAATTCTTTTTTATTATCCGAAAACTGGCTCTCAATATATTTCCCGCATCTTATATGCGAATTTAAAGCATCTGGTAGACTAATAGTTACTCAGACACCGTCGAAA